AGTCTGAAGGCAAAGCTGTCTTCAGCATTTGAGATGAAGGATTTGGGTGCGGCAAAGCAGATTTTGGGGATGAGGATTTCTCGGGATAGATCTGCTGGCACTATAATTCTATCTCAGGAGCAGTACATTGAGAAGGTGATGACTAGATTCAGGGTTAATGATGCTAAACCCAGGACTACTCCGTTGGCAAATCACATGAAATTGTCAAAGGAGCAGTCACCCAAGACGGCTGAGGAGCGAGAGCACATGACACGTGTTCCATATGCTTCGGCGGTTGGGAGTTTAATGTATGCTATGGTCTGCACTAGACCTGACATAGCATATGCAGTGGGAGTTGTTAGCAGGTACATGGCTAACCCTGGGAAAGAGCATTGGGAAGCTGTGAAGTGGCTTCTGAGATATCTGAGAGGTACATCCAGCACTTCACTTTGTTTTGGCAAAGGTGAAGTGATTCTACAGGGTTTTGTGGATGCTGACCTTGGTGGAGATGTGGACTCGAGCAAGAGTACATCTGGGTACATTTACACCATAGGTGGAACAGCAGTGAGTTGGATGTCCAAGCTTCAGAAGTGTGTTTCTCTTTCATCTACTGAAGCTGAATATGTGGCAATAGCTGAAGCTGGGAAAGAGATGATTTGGATGTCAGACTATCTGGAAGAGTTGGGAAAGAAGCAGAGCAAGAAGATCCTTTACTCAGATAGCCAAAGTGCCATCCAATTGGTGAAAAATCCAGTCTATCATTCGAAGACCAAGCATATCAGAAGACGTTACCATTTCACTCGCAGGGCAGTGGAGGCTGGTGACATGAGCTTGGAGAAGATAGAGGGTGCAAAGAACCCGGCAGACATGTTGACAAAACATGTTGATGTTGGGAAACTGGGGTTGTGCAAGACCTCGGTTGGTCTTCTGTAGTTGTTCACTACAGATGTTGCGGTGCGGTGAAGAAATTGATGATGTTGGCAATTTCTGAGATGATTGGATCAGTCTCCAAGTGGGAGAATTGTTAGGTTATGGAGCCTGATGCTTAATGATTAAGTTTGCTTAATGGTTAAGTTTACTTAATGGCAAAGTTTACTTAATGGCTAAGCTTTCTTAATGGTTAAGTTTACTTAATGGCTAAGTTTGCTTAATGACTAAGTTTTCTTAATGGTTAAGTAAGTAGAGGTTGTAATGCCTATATATATTTTCCTTTGTAGCTAATTTTTGTAGAGAGGTAAGAGTCAAATTCTCTGTAATTGTATCTGCCTGAAATCATCAATAAACACATCTAGCCGCCGTGGAAGTTTACTCACGGGGTGTTACCACGTTATTTCACGTGTTTCACTTTCTCTCTACTTTTACTCTCTCGTTTTTTCTTCACCTTCTTCATCGGATTTCTGTGAGTGTTCTTGATTTGATCCTAACAATTTATACTAACTTCCATTGCATGGAACTCTTCCAACTCTCCTTTATAACCTCTATCACTATTAGTCTATGCAAAATAAGGTATTTCTTTTACGATCTAGTTGGAAATAGAATGACCACTGACCAGTATTTGTAAACTTTACTATTGACTGTATAGTTTATTCATTGTAGCAGCAAAGTTTGCTTATGAAGTGAAGCAGCATCATAATCCATTTTCCTCTCTTAATCTTAGGACATCTCTGCATGCGGTGTATCATGCATATTGTTTCTGTGTGTTCATTGTAAAGGTGAAAAGTGACCAAATACTACCGGGACTTAGAAGATGAATGCCTCTTATTTACGTCGTTCCTTTCTGGTTCTGATTGTTGTATTTGATTTGGTTTCGTTATTTTGTTTCACGTGAAGAAATTAATTAGGAGTAACTTTTTTTTTTGCAGAAAATCGTGACGTCCTTCAAGTTGTCAAAAGCCAACCATCACATTTACATCTCTCCCAGCATAAACTTACATAGTTGGCATCAGACAACGATCATCGCACCCACATGTTATACAAATGTTATCTTCTGCTTTTGTATATGTATTGACAACTGCACGAGCCGGGCACGCATTAACTAGCTCCAGGTTTAAATGCATGTTGTACCTTCTAGAAAGTAATAAATGTCGGGGCTCGTATGAGGCGGACTCGTCCACTCCGTTAGCTTCACTGTTAAACTAAGAAGTGTTGAACTTAGATGATACACATTCCTGTTTTTACTTGTGCATGGACACGACGAATATGCAAAATGTTTATCCTTTTCATAAACAAAACATGCAATATGTATGGAAATAGAAATGAACTGGAGGCGTCCACTATTACTATTAGGACACTGCTTTTGTTACGACATGATACTCTCTGTATTTGTTTCTGTCAATGGTTGTTTACCCATGAAACCAATGCTAACCATTTGTTACTGATGTTGTTATGGTGGTTATTTTCACGCTAGTTGTTTTAATTACTACGGAGTGGTAATTGTTTTTTTTTTAAACGAGAATTGTGCTTCATTCAGAAAAAGTACAGTTAAACCTCTAAATTAATCTCTTGGGACCATCAAATTTTATTAATTTAGATACTCTTTAGTACATCGTTAAATTAATATTTTACTTTTTCTGTTACAAATTAGATTAGAAATAAATAATGCAATTTACACACTTTAAAATTATATAAAAAATTTTACAAAATAAGTGGTGACAAATAATTTAGTTTATCAATTGGTCAATAAAAAATGTAAATAAATACTTTCTTCATTCCTAAATCATTTACATTTACGTAAAATGAAGTAAAATTATAATTTTTTTCCAATTTATTTTATTTAAAGATTGGTACTCCGTATTTAAGTAAAAAAAACTTACATGCTCTGTATTTAAAAAGTACATCAAAAGTTTATAAAACAAATATAATGTGATAAATAAGATAAAAATTGGTAGCAATAAGAGTTGTTTTTTACTCCGTAATTGAAATAAAAAAAGCATTCACGAACAAAGAAAAATAAATAGAGGAAAACTTTTAGGGACGAAAAACAGTATAATTTGGCAAAACAAAATGAAATCGGGTCTCGGTCTCCTTCGTTGTAACACCTTATATAATACGTCGAAAATATAGGAAGAACAAGAGCATGATCAGAATCCATGTTTTATGCGCACATTACCAGCCGAGGTAGGAAAGAAAACAGAACAAATGAGATGGTGCATTGCACGTGGAACCTTAATTTTTTTAAAATTGAGTGGCGCTGAGTTTCGAACATGTGACCTCTTAGTCAAAAGGGCTCTGATACCATGTCAACAAACCAACTCAACTTAAAGTTTAAGTTTGTGTTTGTAGCTCAGGAAATGTTTCTTATATTCTTGCAGTAAACAAAAATCTTGCTTGAAAACAAAAACATCCTATAGATACTGCTAGTCTGCTGCCAACCCAACTACCATATGAGGATACAACTTTGATATAAACTTGTTAGAGAAAAAGTTAATATGGAGTACTAATTAATCTTCAATTCATATACTACGTATAATGTAAGGGAAAGGGAGCGTCTAAAATGAACTAGCTGCTTACATCAGTTCGTTTGGGGTACCTACGGTGTTCCGTTTGTAAAAATGGCGGTTCCTACTCCCCCTAACCCTCCCCCTTGTCCCCCCACCCTACCCCCTCCTGCTCCCCACGTCATTTTTACAAACTGAGCACCGTAAATGCCCCAAACGAATTGGTGTAAGAAAATGACACTAGTAGCACTTATGTCATTTTAGACTTAATCATAATATAATACTCCATATTACATTACATTGAAGTTTCAATTTAATAAGCTATCTTGTACAGTATTTTACAAATATTTAATTTAATATAATTATTACGGAGTATCATTTTAGACACATACGGGTTAACAATTAATACGTAGTATAATTGAGAGCAAGAGCAAAGTTAACTACACGAAGGGCCGGAAGAACACCCTTCCATTGATTCGAAGGCGTCTGCAATGTTAAAATTCAAATTGCCTCTCGTACTCATTCCTCTGTTTCCCTTTCTCATCATTGTGGCAAATTCCCCATAGTCGATTCGCCCATCCTACATGTTGGTCATATTCAAATCTCAATAATCATCTATCAATAGGTAATTAAAGGCTAAACTCCACCATTGGTCCTTCAACTTTATCAATTGTGCACGATTGGCTTCAAGTTTTAAAAGTCCATAAATAGTCCTTCAACTTTATGAGTTATGCACGATTGGTCCTTCAAGTTTTAAAAGTGTATAAATAGTCCTTCAAGTACACGTCAGCCCTCCAGATGAGGTTCTTTTGATAGTAAATGTTAAAAGCTAAATGGAATACTAGCTCCATATAATACGGAGTAGTCGTACATAGTAAAATTTACTCGTATTATATGAAACTAGTATTTCGTTTAACTTTTAATATTTACTGTCAAAATGACTTCATCTGAGGATTGACGTGCACCTGAAGGACTACTTATGGACTTTTGAAACTTGAAGGACCAATGGTGCAGAACTCATAAAGTTGAAGGACTATTAATGGACTTTTGAAATTTGAAAGACCAATCGTGCACAACTGATAAAGTTGAAGGACCAATGGTGGATTTTCGCCGGTAATTAAATTGTGTGTAGAGGCTTGATATGTACATTGTCTGTATCAATTTCTTTGATAATTTCATCCAAAGAAGCGTCGGCGAAACCAAAGTCTTTGCACGCCTGTTGAAGCTCATCAATGGTTATGTAGCCACTAGCATCTTTGTCAAAGTATGAGAAAGCTGCAAGCAAGTTTTCCTCTTTTTCCATCTTATTCAAGTGTAAAGTGGCTGCCAGAAATTCACCGTAGTCGATAGACCCATTGTTGTCAATGTCTGCCTGCAGATATTTTCGCAATCAAAATCACACTCCGTAGTCTAAACAAAACAATATGGTACGAATGAAGTATATAATACTCCATATATAAATAGAGTGATACGCAATGGAGGAGTGAGTTCGCGTACCCCATTCATCAGATCACGGATTTCAGACTCCATCAGCTCAGACCCGACTCTTTTCAAACTCTGTTTGAGTTCTTCAAATGTGATGGTCCCATTCCCATCTGCGTCAATCATTTTGAACAACTGTCTTAGCCCTCCTATTTCTTCTTCTGAGAGCCTTTCTGCTATGACCTATATGACAAAGTAATTTCAAGCATTAAAAAAAATAAAATTAAATGGGGGGCAAATTAATATAGTAAGTTGTAGTTAGCATGATTAAGATTTGGAGAGCGTTATTACACGCAATGCCATCTTTTTAAGTTTGTTCATGGCAGAGAATTGCTTTAGGCGTGTCAAAACTGCCGAGCCCAAAGGCCTGTCTGGTGCAACTGTGTCGTCCACGATCCAAGGATGGCCTGATACAAAGATGCCACATCTATATTCACATGTATGCTTGGACAATGAAACCAAAACTAATTATTCATAGCTAGTATACATCTGGTTTGAGTACAGGAAACATGCATGTCTTACATAAGACTTGATGTGCAGTTATTCGTTGTCGGGGATCGCGTTGGAGCATCTTTTTTATCAAATCCTTTGCGCTCTCCGAAATGGAAGGCCAAGGTTCGGATTCAAAATCTATTTTCCCTTTCATGATCTGCTTAAAGATGCCATTGTCGGTTTCTGCACTTTGAAAATTTATTTATTTTAATCTTAAAGATAAAAAGGGAATTGATCAATCACTGCATTGTCTCGGCATTTGATTAGCCAGAAAAAGAAAGAAAAAAAAAGGGTAGGGAACTCAAAAGAGTTATATACCAGCCCAAAAAGGTGGAACCCCACACAATAAGATGTAAAGGATAACACCAGCACTCCATACATCGATTTCGGGTCCATAAAATTTGTGCAGCACCTCAGGAGCAACATAGTAGGGGCTGCCTACCACATCAGAAAGATACTGACCTGAAAAGTTCAAGCTTGTGGTTGTTGACCCGGTTTTATATTCTAACAAAACTAGTACACGTAATTAGGAAGACAAACCGGGCTTGTAGAAGACAGAGAGGCCGAAATCGGTGGCCTTGAGCTTTGCATCCTCATCTGGGGTATCAAACAGGAAGTTCTCAGGCTTGAGATCCCTATGCATGACCCCAAGAGAATGGCACCCCTCTACTACCCCAACAATGGTCTTCATCAACTCAGCAGCCTTTCGCTCGCTGAAGTGGCCCTTGGACACGATGCGGTCGAACAGCTCCCCGCCCCTGCAGACCTCCATGACAAGGTGAACGGTCGTGTCGTCTTCGTACGTTCCCTTGATCCGAACAACGTGTGGGTTCTCGGACAAATGATGCATGATCTGGATCTCCCTCCACACGTCCTCGTAATCCTCTTTGCACAGCAGCTTCCTCTTTGGGATGGATTTGCAGGCGTATTCAAGCCCGGTGGCTCTCTCCGTGCACACGTAGGTCGTCCCGAATTGGCCGTGGCCCAGCTTCTTCCCCAGGGTGTAATGCTCCTTTAACATTGGTGTCTGGTAAGGCAGGACGCTTACGGGAGGCTTTGAGGATGCCGCTTTCCATGCCTTTGCTTTCTGCTCTGCCATCTTTGATTTGGGATCAATTCCCTCAAATGTTATTTTCTACCTTGATCCACCTTCTTCCTCTTCTTCTTCTTCCAGTTTTTGTTTTTTCTTTTCTTTCCTTGACGTGTTCTGGGATTGTGAGAAAAATTCTTTGTTCCCAATTATGTTGGTTCACCTCCGGAAATGGGAGATTTGAATTTGAGAGGTAGTGTTGTTTGACAATTGACACATTGACTTGTTTGGCTAATTGAATTGGCTGGAATTGTGGAAGCCCGAAAAGATATCTACTACTCCTTATCATACTCCCTTTAGGGCCTTTACACAATTGTTCACGACCTTCTATTCATGTTATTTTCAATTTAATTATATGTAAAAATTGATAAAAAAAATAAAAAAATTAAAACTTATATATTTAGGAAAAGGGTTACTCCGTAGATTAAAGACGATTTTCGGAAAAATATTTTCAATTAAATTCGGTCTTTTACATTATTTTTTTAACGTTGTAGATTAATTTTAAAAATGTTAATGTTAAACACTACCTTGATATAAAAGTTTGAAAAATATTAAAAACTAAATATTGAATTATAGAAATTACTTTTTTCACAAGAAGTTATGACACCCCTTCCAAAATTTTTAAATACTATCTTGATATAACAGTTTGAAAAATGTTAAAACTAAATATTGAATTATAGAAATTACTTTCTTCACATGAAGTTACAAATTACGATACACCTCAAATTTCTATCCGTTTGTTTTTATAATTCATTCTTATCATTTTATTTTTCCAAATTATTGTATTCTCTCCGTTCTAAATTAAGTTGTTTCTTTACTATTCACAAAGTCAAATTTCATTCACTTTCTTTTTATTTTCATTAATCATTTAATAAAATAATATGATCATATTATCACTAATTTTATAGATCTTTTGATCTAGTTTTTAAGTATGTAATCTCTATTTTTTAATTCTACATCATTTTTTATATAAAATGATTTAAAAATAATTTCAACCAAATATAGTAAGCCGAAACAGGCTATTTAAATTCAGTTGAAAGGAGTACAACCGAATGAGTCTTACTTTTCACTTCTTTTAAACTTTTAAAATGACCATAACTTAAAATTTGTTACTCCTCGGTCACACGATACACAGTTGGATTACTCTAATCGAGACTTATCCAACGAATATAATTTTGACTATAAATCAATAACTTCAAATTCTCTAATTTTCTTCTGTCTTGATACAATACACACACACGCACTTATTTTTTCCACTTCATCCTTAGTGGTCAAACATCCTAGCATACTATCCACAGAAGCCCCACCCTCAACTGATTGAGGCAGGCTACCTCCCCCCCTCCTCCTCAAGGTTGCTCTATCTGTGACTCCGAAAAAGATTATGCAGAAGTGTACAATGCTTGCAGCTCCATCAGAACCCATTCCCGCGGATAGGACTTGGAGTTGGGGATAACAATTTTTTCATACAAAAAATCTTAGACTTTCATATTTACCTTTCATTGGATTAATTTTCTTTTTGCAAAGCCTACCCGTAGAATTGAAAGTTACTAACATAGACCACCATCCTACAATTTCATAAAAATCCAAGACCGTTTGGGCTTAAAACATGTTAAAATGTAGGTGGTCCGATTTCATACCAAACGACCTTGGATGTTAGTGAAATTTCAAGATGATGATTTATGTGCTGGTAATTTTCAATCATAGGTTTGGTTTCGCAAAAAAAATAAAATCCAATTGAAAGATATGAATGATATAAGATTTGTTCTATAAAAGAATGTCGATTTTGGTTCAAGTGACAATGATGCACACGGAAAGAAATAAAAATGCATATGATCCATTTGAAGTAAGAGCTAAGGGCTATTAAAAACGAAAAAAACTCTTAAAAAAAGGAAAATCACAGTAGCACTTCAATAAATAAATTGAACCCTGTTGTCACTACAAAAATGAAGTAATGAACTGCAAGTTAAATGTGCATCACTATACAACAAAAATGTACTTTTCACATTTCTCATAGTAAGTATCATTCTCATGTGTACAGTTAATATCCCAAGAAAGGTCAACAGGGTTATTATTAAACAAATACCAGAGCGAAAAAAGAAAGTTGAGGAAAAAATGAGCTTAAAGATTGTTTGATGATTACCAAATTAATGATGATCAATCCTTTCAAACTCTGATTCACGGCAATGGGGATCTAGCCAATCCTTGGAGGAGCTTTTGGATGCAGGAGGCATTGTTCCAACTCCCACAAGTGCTCTTATATTTTCCACCTTATTCTCACGGCCACTTCCGCTGTATCTTCTATCAGCTTCCTTAAGTTTGTGCTTAAAACTTTGCTTTGAGTTCAACTCTGATTGTCTTGGTCCTAAAGGACGAGGAGCTCCATGTGGTCCGAGGTATATACTCTCTTCATTTGAATGAGTAAATGATGACTGTTCAGAATCCATGACGACTTCTAAGGGATCGGTTTGACTTTCTCCTGAATCCATGATCCCCAAGCTTGGAATCACAAATCCATCAGTGTCCCACTCATCTTCTTTGACGGGAGGAGTGGACTGAGCTCCAGGCGGGTCCATGGACTGGAGACTTCGTGCTGCCCCCTTGGAAACAGCGATTTAGTCAGAAACTTGATGTCAATTTCAGCAAAATAGATTTTTTAGAATTTTGATGCAAAGAAACTTAACCATAAAGAACCAAATTATTGAAGAGAAACGTAGTAAGAAAACATTGAACGGGTTCCAACGATGGAGGCCCCAAATATGAGGGGCCAATAGTTGAGGATATACTCCTTATTAAAATCCCATATACTCCGAGATACACAAACACACACATGAGGCCATTTAATATTACAAAAATTTTTGTATACAACAAATATTACAACATTCATATCTTTCAATTGGATTTTATTTTTTTTGCAAAACCCACCGTAGGATTGCAATTTACTAATGCATAGATCATCATCCAAAAATTTCACAAAAATCCAAGGTTGTTTGGTATAAAATCAAGCAACTTATATCTTAACATATTTTAAGCATATACATTACATTAAGTTTTATTTTATTGGATGAAAGAAACTTGACGGTGGTATGACTTCATTGAGTTTATGAAAAGTGCTGAGAAACGGAAAGAGGGTGGTCAAAATTTGTTTTCAAGAAGAGAAATTCAGAAATTTTTTTTCCTTAAAAGGAAAAGAAGTGACATGCAAAGTTTATTTTGAGATGGACGTAAATAGGAAGTTTAAATTTGTTTCTGAAACACAGGGAGTAAGAGGGTTAAGCTTAGTCATTTAATTGTTGACCTTCAATTCTATAAGAATCACATAAGGCCATATAAAAGGCATATTGTTTTTGCAAATGTATTTCTTTCATGAAACCAAAAGATTCAAATATAGAAGGGCAGGGGAGAAAGCCCATTTAAATGCATACCACAAAGCATTCCAAGACTCATCTCGAACCGGCTTTCATGTTTTGAAATTTTATTCGTTATGCCATCAAAGAAAATCCAAAACAACAAAACTTTAGGGAGCATTTGTCGAACTCACGGTAAAATAATTGAGGGTGCTGTTAGGGAAACAATATCAAAATAATATTAGTATATTATTAATCATGGCAAGCATATCTCATGGCTAAAGGAGAGGAGCTGCGCACGGCACTATTGAAGGGAAACCATAATTAACTTACCATTTGTATTATCCATAGACTTCTATTATGTGTAGGTTTCCTCGTATACACATGCCTCTTGTACGTTTGGAATACAAGAAAATATACCAAAGTTTACCAGTGGGCTCTTCAAAATCTAACATGGTATCAGAGCCATAATCTTTCCTCTTCAACCAATTTTTTTCTCGATCAGCGCCACTTGCTGAGGAATTGCAGAGCGTGATCATCTATGGCGTCCGAAGATCAACCGGCAACGAAGAAACTTGCCGAGGACGTCCCACAACGGCGTACGATATCCCCGTACGATTTGCATGCCAACGATAACCCTGGGTTGATCATTACCCAAGTTGTGTTGAAGGGCAAGAATTACGAGGAATGGGCACGTGCCATTCGTACCGCTCTTAGCGCACGAAAGAAGTTTGGTTTCGTGGATGGTTCGATTCCACAACTGCCGGAGGACTCCGGTGATCTTGAGGATTGGTGGACAAACAATTCTTTGATCGTGTCATGGATACGCAACACTATTGAGTCATCTCTCCGCACGATGATTTCTCACATGGAGATGGCTAGCGAATTATGGGAGGACATCAAGGCGCAATTTTCCGTAGTTAATGGACCACGGATTCAACAAATCAAGCGGGAACTTTCAACTTGCGATCAACGCGGGTTGAATATTGCGGCATATTATGGAAAACTCAAGAAGTTGTGGGATGACCTCAACGGTATCGATCCCTATCCCGTATGCGTTTGTGGCAAATGCACGTGTAATACTGCTCAACAATTGGAGAAACGAAGGGACGAGGAGAAAGTTCATCAATTTTTAATGGGTTTGGACAACGCGATATACGGTCACCTTCACTCTACGCTCTTGTCCCAGGAGCCGTTCCCCACCACCGCACGTGCATATCGTGTGCTCACCCAGGAAGAAAATGCCACGGCCTCCGTGACTCGGGATTGACCAGAAACCGTTGCCTTCGTCACTCGTGCCACTTCCGCCGATACTACTCATGACAAAGGCATAACCTGCAGCTACTGCAAAAAGCTCGGCCATGATAGGGATACATGCTTCCAACTGAACGGTTATCCAGAAGGATGGGGTTCACGTGCACGGAGTGGAGGAAGCCGCAGTCGTGGCCATGGTCGGGGATTTCCCTCTAGTCGTGGCGCAGCGGCTATGGCACATGCGGCGACGGTGACTCTCGTCCCTGACAGCGGAACAGAACCAGCACCCACTGTCCCCTCACTTACGGCAGAGCAATGGGATACTTTCCGAGCTTTGCTTGCGTCCGTTAAAGATGGTTCCACAGAAAAATCAGGTATTCCTTTTACTAAAACATGGATTCTCGATACCAGAGCTACAAATCATATGACGGGTGATCTTCGCAGCTTGTTTGATACACGTAAAATTTCGGGATGTTGGATTAAGTTGCCAAACGGAAAATGGGTTGCCGCAACCACCGCCGGCCGCGTTTGTTTGAATGCTTCCTTGACATTGAACAATGTTTTATTTGTGCCTGATTTGAATTGTGCCTTGCTCTCTGTCTCTCAACTCATAAGAGAGACTAACTATGTGGTTAAATTCGATGGGAAATTATGTGTGTTACAGGACCGTGCCACGATGCAGGTGATTGGTGCGGGTAGGCAAATTGAGGGACTATACTACTTCCAACAGTCTCACGTGGGCAGTGCACTGTCAACAGTAAAGGGCTGTGCTTTTGATTTATGGTATCGACACTTGAGTCATCCGTCTCCTAAAGTTTTATCTTTATTTCTTCTTGCTACTGATAGTAAAGCTAGTGTTTTGAATCAAGTACCGTGTTCTATTTGCTTACGAGCCAAACAATCTCGTGCAAGTTTTCCCTTAAGTGCTAATAAAACAACTCATTTGTTTGAACTCGTGCATATTGATGTATGGGGTCCCTATCGGACTCCGACTATGGATGGTTTTAAATCCTTTCTTACCATTGTGGATGATTACTCTCGAGGTACTTGGGTTTATTTATTACGGGCAAAATTTGAGGTTCCTACTATTTTTCGCCAGTTTTGTGCTATGATCACTCGTCAGTTTGATGCCACACTAAAAACTGTGTGTAGTGACAATGGAACAGAGTTTGAATGTCTCGATCCTTATTTTCGTGAACAAGGAATTATACATGAATGTTCTTGCCGTGCTACACCTCAAAAATGGACGGGTTGAACGTAAACATCAACACATTTTGAATGTTGCTCGGGCACTACGTTTTCAAGGGTCCTTGCCTCTTGTTTTTTGGGGAGAATGCATTCTCACCGCCGCATATCTCATCAATCACACCCCGTCCGTTTTATTACATGGCAAGACTCCTTATGAACTCATTTTTGGTAGTGCACCTGCCGTCTCTCATATCCGGGTGTTCGGTTGTTTATGCTATGTTCACAATCAGGAACGCCATGGCGATAAGTTCGAATCACGTAGCATGCCGGCCGTGTTTGTTGGTTACCCTTTTGGCAAGAAAGGGTGGCGAGTGTATTCTAAAGAAACAGGAAACTTTATAATTTCTCGTGATGTGATTTTTTGCGAAGATGTTTTCCCTTTTCAGGATGATTCTCCGGATCCATCTCTTCGGTCAGCTCCAGTGGCACCTGAATTCACTTATGTCGATGATGATGAAAGGGCAAGTTCTATCCCCACCCCTGGTTCCAGTCCTCCTCCTGCGCGTGACGACTCGGCAGCCCCTACTGCCGGCTGTGGCTCCACATACAGCAGGGAGAGGGCAGATAGCCACTCTTCCTTCACTGCCCGAAACAAGTGGCTCCACGGTCCAAGAAGTTGCACCACCTGTGGATACTGAGCTGGGCCGTGGTCATTGTTCCAAAGCCCCGAGTGTGCGGTTGCAGGATTACATCACTTGCATCGTGACTAAGGACACTGAGTCGTGCCAGTATCCTTTGACAAAATTCATCAATTATGCCTGTTTCTCAGATTATCACCACGGTTACTTGGCGAAAATTGACTCGGTTGTTGAACCTCAGTCTTATCGCGAGGCAATGCAATCTCTTGGCGTAATGCAATGGCCGAAGAAATCACCGCATTAGAAAATAACCACACATGGACTTTAGTCCCTTTGCCCCCTCATACAAAGCCTTTGGGGTGCAAGTGGGTCTACCGAATCAAACGGAAATCCGACGGTTCAATAGAGAGATTCAAAGCTCGGTTGGTGATTCACGGCAATCGACAGGTGGAAGGTATTGATTATAATGAGACTTTTGCTCCGGTGGTGAAGCTCACTACGGTACGGGTCCTCTTGGCGATCGCCGCTGTCCGCCACTGGGAACTCCATCAGATGGACGTCCATAATGCCTTCCTTCATGGTGATTTAATAGAAGACGTATACATGAAACTTCCCCCTGGATTTCGGCCTCAAGCTCTGAATATGGTATGTAAATTGCAAAAATCTCTCTATGGTCTCAAACAAGTGCCACGTTGTTGGTTTGCCAAGCTTTCCGGAGCGTTACGCCGGTATGGGTTTTGCCAGTCCTACTCCGATTATTCTCTTTTTTCCTACAGCCGACCCGGGTCGGTTATCCATGTCTAGATTTACGTGGACGATCTAGCCATCGCTGGTGACAACTCCGTGGAGATTGCTTGTTTTAAGAAGTACCTGTCCGCTTGTTTTCATATGAAGGACTTGGGGAAACTCAAATATTTTCTTGGGATTGAAGTGGCTCGAAATCCGATAGGGATATTCCTTACCCAGCAAAAATATGCTCTCGAGATTATTACCGAGTCCGCTTTGCTCGGCTGTCGGCCCCTTGGAGCACCAATGGAGCCGAACCACAGGCTGCCCTTGGCGTTGGGTCCCTTACTAGCCGACCCAAGTGCCTATCGGCATTTGGTTGGTTGTCTCGTCTATTTGTCTGTGATCTCTCCTATGCGGTTCATACATTGGCTCAGTTTTTACAGAATCCACGAACTGATCATTGGAACGCAGCGTTGGGGGTGGTTCGTTACCTCAAAGGGACGGCCGGCCATGATATTCTTCTATGTTCGGACAGTTCACTTTATTTAACAGGTTGGTGTGATTCAGAGGCTGCATGTCCCTTGACTCGGAGGTCTCTCACCGGTTGGTTCGTTCAGTTAGGTGTTTCTCCAGTATCTTGGAAGACTAAGAAACAGCCTATTGTAGCTCGATCTTCTGCAAAGGCCGAATACCGCTCCATGGCCGTCTTGACTTGCAAGCTCAAGTGGCTTCGTGGCCTCTTACGTTTCTTAGGCGTACCCCATCCCGCACCCATGCAGATTTTTTGTGACAATACAGCCGCTCTTCATATAGCCGCCAATCCGGTCTTCCATGAGCGCACCAAGCATATAGAGATTGATTGTCATTTTGTTCGGGATGAATTACTGCGTGGTTCTATTCGGACTGCTCATGTCTCTACTCACAATCAATGTGCAGATATTTTTACTAAGGCCCTAGGTAAAGGGCAGGTTGAGGCCTTACTTTCCAAGTTGGGCATTTGTTTTCTACACGCTCCAACTTGAGGGGGGGTGTTAAGGAAACAATATCAAAATAATATTAGTATATTATTAATCATGGCAAGCATATCTCATGGCTAAAGGAGAGGAGCTGCGCACGACACTATTGAAGGGAAACCATAATTAACTTACCATTTGTATTATCCATAGACTTCTATTATGTGTAGGTTTCCTCGTATATTTTTGTGTACATATACACATGCCTCTTGTATGTTTGGAATACAAGAAAATATACCAAAGTTTACCAGTGGGTTCTTCAAAATCTAACAGGTGCAAATAAGAAATATGAACCTGTGCATTCTTTGTTAAAGAACCAAAACAACCAGAAACTATAAACAAAGAATGCAAAACTGAACTATTGATTACTTAAAGCAAACCAAAACAACATTCTCTGAAAGCATTTCTGAAATTGCAAGACCCAAAACCGAACTAAAAAACTAACAAAAATAAATATTAACATAGACAATAGTAAGAAAATAAAATGAAAAGGGAATTCAAAATTAACTCAATCTAATTACCCTATAGGGACGAAGACAATGGAAAATGAGATGGTGGACCTGGTTTAGGGAGTAAGACAAAAATCAATTTTGAATCTAATTCAATGGCATCTTATTTTGGGATACCCCTAATTGCTAGGAATACAAGGACTAACATTCCCAAACATAAAAGTTGCACTTTGTTGAAGAAGGGAACGAAAAACAACCATTAAAGTCAGTTGTCGTCCCCGCCAAACCAAACATCCTTACTTAATCTCATGCTTGAATTAATTCCACCAAAACCTAATACTACGTATTTGATTTTCATCTCGCTGAAGGTTTCAGTTCCGTAACAAGGAAAATGTGTACCTTTGAACCTGCATAGAGGAGGGTCAGATCGGAGCTCTCTTCCTTCTCTTCTCCTCTGCAAAATGAGAGAGGTGACACCATTCCAGAGCTCCCAACTGACTGCCGAGTTTCATCCATAGTTCTACTGTGTAGGAAAATGAGATTGGGTGAGTAACTGCAATTGTGAGTGGGAGCATGCTATCCTCCTATTCTTAATTATGCCTCATGTTTTTTCCCGCCCAAATGCTATCGTTTATGAACCATCGATATTCATCTATATTTTTAATCAACGGTGATTATAATTACGCAACATGCAAATATGACTTTATTTTATTCTATAAAAGGAAAATACCTTATAAGATTCATGTGTAATTTAATGCGGTGTATATAAATAATATGGTTTTATAAAAGGAAAGCATTGTGTATATAAATTATATGGTCTTAACTATTTTTAAAAAAATTAACTTTATAAAATCCGTACATACTTAATGCCCGAAAATTTAAGGGAAGTTTTTATGCATAAAAAACATATTCAACATATTAAGAAAAGAAAGAATTACCAAAAAAGAAATCATAGAATTTTGGAAGTTATTAGCATGTTAAACAAAAAGGCCCCTTCTCGAATCATTTTTTATTTGTCTGATATGTCGAGTAGACCTAGCAAACCGGTCGGTCATGTCGGATTCGAGTTTGGTCACCTTGGGTTTGGGTTACTTCGGGTTCGGATAAGTTCGGGTTCGGGTTGATAACTACATATTCATGACCCAGTGTCATCGGTTCAGGTTTATGAGTTTCATTAATTTTTTTGAAATTATAAATAATTTCTATGATTAGTGTCAATATTACGAATAAAAAAATTAAATATTTAGAAATTTTGAAAAAATGTAAGAAATTATGCGACATCATTAAAATTTATTATGATGGTATAAATCTATACACAAAAAATGAGTATAGATTTTTTAAAGTACGGACTTTATAAGTAATTTTTTTATAAAGTTAATTTTTTTTAAAACACTCGCCATTTTTTTAAACCGTATTTAAGAAGTCACTTGGGCGGGAAAACGATGGGTACATGTTTCCCATTCTTTTCAGAATAGGAAGATGTGGTGGAGATAATTTATGTATTACACAATTTAAAAATATTATATTTCATTATATGGTGTAGTTATTAACTTTTTTAATAATACCAATATAAATTTATAAAGTTAATACGAACCGTGCAATGCACGGGGTGTGATACTAGTATACAAAATTTATACTTCATTTGTACACTAAAAGTATGCATCAACATTTTGATAAGTATGCATCAACATTTTGATAAGTATGCATCAACATTTTGATGGTTAATTTTGATACAAAGTATTGATACGTTAACAAAAATTTAAACTAACACAAAGTGTTAGTGCGTTAACAAAAATTAGTTTTAAATCAACACAAAATATTAGTACATTCTTACAATGTACAAAATGGGATACAAATTTTTCTAAAAATAACATTATCCTTGTGAGTAGGAGGGCGTGATTTTTATACGGAGTACTAAGTGAATATCGAAATTAAGTTTGGTCCATTTAGAACTATTGGCCCATCAATTTTTAAAAATTATATTACTCCCTCCGTCTCAATTTAAATGATTTCTTTCGGTTTACGATAATAGAAGCTATTTATAAATTTTTTATAGGAAAGATTCTATACAATTTAAAAAATAAAAATTACGGAGTACATATTTAAAGAGTACATCAAAAAATTTACAAAACTAGTGGTGACATCAAATAACTAACAAAATTAAAAAAAGAAATTGAAGAAAGTTTGACCCTATTAATAATTAATAAAAAATTTAATTTGGAATGAATAGGATAATACCGAGTATAATATTAGATTATTTATCTCTGTAATGTGTCATCAATTAGTACTCATTAATTTTGCATGAGCAATGCTAGGGGTACACCAAAAGGTGTACCCCAAATGTACACCACCCCCTTCTCCATCACACATTTTTATTTGATTCTTATTTACTTATTTTTTTTTTAAATTTTTTTGCTTTTTTTAGTGGACAAGGAGGGGGTGGGGGACAAATGGGGTACACCTTTGGTGTACCCCTAGCATTTTTCATTTTGCATTTAACACTTTGTCATATGTAATGTGCCGTGAAATAGAAACACTATAACCTTGTTTTTTGTATTTTCCTTATTTTAGGTCATGTTGGTTTTTTGTCTATTACTATCTTTTTTATTGTTAAATTCCTATAAATGTGACTCCTTTTTCATTTTACATGCCATTTTTGGGCAAATCAAGCAGTCTTACCCGCCTAGACGGGCAGATATGAATATAGTTTTTTTACCCCACATGTGATTTGGGTATAGCTAGACACGTCCAAAAAAATAGATAATTATTAGATCTGATCAAACGTCTGATCGGGCTAAGATTGATGGGATTTAACCCAATAACTACGGTGGCCCGGAGAACTTGTATGTCAATAATAACAGTATAGATTGAATATAACTTTCGTATACTTGTATTAGCTTTTTTCAGCTTAGGTTACAATGAAAGATTTATCTCATATTTATAGTCTAACGCTACTGCGTATATATGGTATGTACTACATTATCGGGCTGATTGGCTATCGTTCGTCAATTGTCGGCAAGAAATAAGTCATCAATCACTCGTTAATCCCACGATTAGGGGATTGCGCTTTCCTTATACTTCGTGATCAATCTGCCTTGACGGACTGGCCACACCCATTACATTCTTCAATCCTTGGGTTCGACCCGTTCTTTTAATTCGAATATGGGCTTCATCTCCGTTGGGCTCTAGATAACATGCTTTGGCCTTTTTGCGTCTATTTTATGAACCCATATCCATCACAAGCCCCTTAGTTTCTAAGTGACGCGTCACTGAGAAACTAATGATGATGAGCCGCCTTTGAATCCCGTGCTGAATTTGAAACAACCCTAATCTCCTCGTCTCGGGATTAATCTCAATTCCTTCAAATAAAAGCACACTCATCTTTTACAATTCTCCGTATATTTTTTCTTAAATTAATATTTTTCATTCCATTTTTTTCGTAAGTTGAGTTTTACACTTTTACTTCTATATACTTTTTTTAATATGTTGTCTTTATTTTTTGATCAAGTATCAAACAAATAATGTAATTTTTAATTTTTTTTGTAAGTTTAATTTCATCCTCTTGTATTGATTTTTGAAATGTTTTTTGAGCTTAATTTTCAAAAACTAACAATACAAGTTCATCTGTTCTTTTTTCTTGATCAATACGGATTTAAGATATTTGACTTAAATTAATTATAATTCTATTTATAAAAAACTGACGTAAAAAACAACTACCCATTTGAATCCAATAAGAGTCGGGTCTGGAAAGGATATGTGTATCAGACTTCACCTTAGCGCTACTTGAAAGTAGAGATGTGGGTAGTTTTTTAAATATATAATTTTTGTTTTTAAATTCCATATCAATTTTCATATAGAATAATTTTTTAAAAAAACTTTAGACAAACATCGTAACGCGCAACAAAAATTTATTTATGGACGGAGGGAATAGTTAATTATAGGCTCCATCAAAGATGATGGAAATTGATATAATATATGTGCGTGATGGAAATTGATAAATACAAAATTAATTATCTATGCATAATTATATAAAAAATTGATAAAATAACAAGTTAGTAATAAAGTAATTCTGGTTAAAACTATAATTTATAATCAAATTCATGATAAAAATGATAAATAAAAAAGATAAAAATTTGACCCCATAAATAATAAATAAGTAAAGTAAAATAAGGATAGAACTTTTTATTATTCATACGCTAGTATAAATATTTAAAAAAAATCTATTTTATACTAGTATTATATATTTGTATTTAATTCGATTACCATAATTTAGATTTTAGACTCTTGAGTCTAGATTCAACACTTTAATCAAGGTTAAGTGTGAAAATATATTCATGTACTAATTAGTGTGTGATGGGAAATAATACGTGGCTCAGCCCACATTTCCCAATTATTTACGAAGAACAGTCAAACCGAACCTGTTTAGTAAAATAGATAAATAAAAGAATATTTCTCCGAAGATGCCCCCTCCTCCCTATAAAAGAAGGGGTTGCCTAAGTGAGAGAGGAGGCCAATTTTTACACTCTCCCCCGTTAACTTCCTTTCTCTCTCTAGAATAATGTGTATCTTTCTTCTTCTTCAAGAGCTCAAAAGCTCTATTAATGGCTTCCTAGCCTAAATCATGTACCGTGTATACCCCTGATATTAATAAAAATCCCCGTTAGCAAGGTACCGCCAAATAAGACCCGTGGTTTTCTCCCGATTTGGATTTCCACGTCAAAATTCCTGTGTTTATATTTTGGTGTACTTATTTAGACTAGTTTATCATTTTTGCCGGGTTAAAAACGATATACCAGTCGATAATTTACACCATCATTTTGGCGCCGACCGTGGGACACAAACAAAAAGTTGTGTTTTTTGTTCAGCCAATTTTTTCTCTTACCACACAAAGTGGGCAAAAAAAAAAGAGGGAGAGAGCCATCTATTCAAAAAAAAAGAGAAGAAGAGAGATGCTGGGTCAGTGGGGAAGGAACGAAGAAGATAAGGGAAGAAAAGGGGAAAAAATTGGGGGCTTTTCTTCAAAAATCCAAAATGGCAAAGAGGAGTCGCCGCCCCACAGATATTGCACGAGTTGCCGGCCTCCCCCAATTGGTCCAGCCGTATCACCAAAATCATCGTCACCACCGAAGAACTTGATCTCTGCCGCCATCCCTAGTCGCAGCCCAGCTTTGTCCCCAGGTGAGTCGCGCCATCACCGGCTCGCCGTTAACGCCAGCACCACCACCGTTCCTGGCGAGAGGGAGATGTTTGTGGGGATGGTGTGGAATTGCGCAGCGGATATGAAGATCCTCCTCACCACTGCTCAAATCCGCCGTCGCCACCGCTGCTCAGATCCGCCGCCGCCGCCGCTGCTCAAACCTACCGCCACCGCTGCTCAAATCCGCCGTCGCCACCGCTGCTCAAATCTGCCGTCGCCGCCGCTGCTCAGATCCATCGCCGCCGTTGCTCAAGCCCGCCACTGCCGCTCATCAGGCCCTTCGTCTTCTGGAAAAAGCAGGGGTCCAAAAGGCTTCAAGTCCACAGCGGCGGAAAAATCAAGAATGCCCACATCTTCCGGGATCCGTAGAGAGCCAAATCCGGGTTGAGAACGGAACCCAGATCCGGATTCTACATTGCTGACGTCGTCAACGGCGAAATCGTTCTTCTCGCCGGAAACCTCCAAAGAGAAGCCTAATTCAAAACTAGGGAACAAATTCCGGGGGCCAAGGCCTCTAACCACGGCAAGGACCGAAACATATGCATAGAGAGCTAAGTCTCCGGCGAAGACCCGATATCGTATTTCTACGTGGACGGCAAAAGGGTCCTCCAAATCAAGCATTTGAGGTTGAAATTCAGAGACACCGGGAAAATCAGAATGGACGGGTTCCCGATCTAGACTATCTAGTCTCCTGGGGCGGCCATAAATGGCTGTTCAGATTCAAGGAAGAAGGTCGCAGCTAGGGCGAGTGCCGCTCACGCGCCGCCGGGAGAGCGGGGAACAGCTGCAGGTTCGGGCCTGAGACGAAGATGATGAAGAAGGGGCTGCTCAGGACGGTGAAGAGCTCGTTGATGTTGGCGTCTCGTCGTCGGCGTCCTGTAGTTCCGTGATGGAGTGGACCGGCGCCGAGGAGAACAAACTCAGCTCACCGGGTTCTTTTTATTGGGGTACGGAAAGGTTATTAACTTTTTCCTAGTGCCTCTCCCCTTGTCCAATAAGCACCAGCTAGATTTCACTACCAAAGAAGAAAAGTGTGAGCAAAGAGTTAAAGTATGCTGTACAAATTCAAGCTCGTGAATGCCTTATTCTTAACAAAGATATGGGCCCACCATTAATTAATGAGAAGAAGGGGCACTTGATTTTAAAAGCATCCAAATCGAGTGGACGAAGAATTCACATGGCAATTGGGAAAAGTACAAGACATGCCATTATCTTGGTCCGACAAATCATTGCATGAAGTTCGGCGGGGCCATGAAGTTCACCTTCAAATAATTGCGTCCTTTTTTGTTCCATACCTTTACAAAAAGGGAAAGGAAGACTGAGACACAGGCCCGGACCTGGCACGCCGGTTACTACACTGGTCTTGCTCAGTATAAAATAAAAAAATAATAAACCCGGAAGAGGGGCCCGGAAGAGGGTATGTCTGCAAGAGGGCTAGACCTGGAAGAAGTGTCGAACCGTACTTACACGAGCCCATGAGGTTTGACCGGTATCGGGGAATCAGCCGGTGCCGTCAAATTGATTGGGGATTAAAAGATGTCCATTAAAAGAAATAGAAAGGGATCGTCCACCGTGGCGCATCCTATTTCTCCCTTCTCAGGGAAGACTTGAACGGGGGGTGAGCTAAGGCCTTCCCGGGATAGTAAATATCAAATGGCCATTAAAAGACGTAATCACCCGGAAGAGGGGGCCTGGAAGAAGGGTGCATTTTGGGCCTTGGAGAGGGCTCGAAACCATCCGACATGGTTAATTCTCCAATGTTGATCTGGCCCGGCCAGTAGCATTATCTTATTGGAAGACTGAGACACAGGCCTGGCCTGACACGCTGGTTACTACACCGGTCTTGCTCACTATAATAAAGAAAATATGTGACCCAGTCAAACTGGTACACTGGTCTCTCACCAGTCTTACACATATTTTCCAATAAGCCTGAGCTCAATCGAATTGGGTACACCGATTGCACATCGGTTTCAGCAAAAAAGTGAGCAAAGCTCATATCGGGGACGCCCGATTCATTTAAGCCCTCAATCTGAGGCACTTTGATCGAAGATGATCTCCGCGAGACATGAAGATATTTACATCAGTCAGCCGGGCTAACACTGATCTTCAACAAAGCTACCGCATCGGATTCACTTCTTATTAACTAAGGTCGTTGTCATCGGTATACTAATTTCGTCACGCATCGTTTGCTTGACTCGTATTAACACCGACCTCGACGAAATAACTTTTTGAAGCATCGTTGCTTTATCGAACTGACATCGCTCTCGTTACGATAATTATTGGCGTGAATCTTAATCACCTAACACCGAGCTCCTCGGTAAAAATAATAATTTTTTGAGCACGACATAGGCCGGTTAAAAAAAATGTTGTACAAATTATTTTTTGCAGGAAAAACTTCTGATTCAAGAAATTAGAGAATTAATGAAGACTCGGAGGACTAGCAAAAATATCAACCGGTCAAGAATCCAAAGTATGAAGATTGAAGATATCACTCGGAGGACTTATTTACTTTTTTAAGTTGATGATTCTCACAACTTAAAAAAGTGGAGGACTTCTTGATGGAAAATAATACGTGGCTCGGCCCACATTTCCCAATTATTTACGAAGAACAGTCAAACCGGACCTGTTTAGTAAAATAGAGGAATAAAAGAATATTCCTCCGAAGATGCCCCCTCCTCCCTATAAAAGAAGGGGTTGCCTAAGTGAGAGAGGAGGCCAATTTTTACACTCTCCCCCGTCCACTTCCTTTCTCTCTCTAGAATAGTGTGTATCTTTCTTCTTCTTCAAGAGCTCAAAGGCTCCATTAATGGCTTCCTAGCCTAAATCATGTACCGTGTACACCCCTGATATTAATAAAAATCCCCCGTTGACAAGGTACCGCCAAAAAAGGCTCGTGGTTTTCTCCCGATTTGGGTTTCCACGTCAAAATTCCTGTGTTTATATTTTGGTGTATTTATTTAGACTAGTTTATCGTTTTTGCCGGGCTAAAAACGATATACCGGTCGATAATTTACACCATCAATGTGTTTAAATAAAAAAATAAAAATTCAAAAAAGTAAAGGAGTATATATTCAAATTATTACTGTTGGGTTATGGAACCTAAGGGTAGGAAAGAAGGAGAAATATGGTATAGATTAGATGAAGAATATGAATAATGTAGAGCCTCCCTCTTTTTACCCCCCTCCCCTCTTCCAAGAAGAGGGTATAAATAAGGAGAATGAGGGCTAGGGTTTCAGACTAATGGGCCGGCCGACTGGGCCGCCCTAAATAACAAATATACGAATAATGGGCCGGCCCAACAAACTGGGCCGCCCTTAAATAAATAATTAACATACAACTAATGGGTCGGTCCAACAGACTAGACAGCCTCAACTAATATTATACAAAGACCGGATACCCCCTGTCCGGGGTATCCATCATGAGTCCCCCACTTTCTGAGCCGAGAGGAACTCGAGGTGAAGTGGAAGTAGAGCAACAATCCGCCACGGAAGGACATCGTCTTCCTTGCTGGCATCGCCACATTGATGTCCCGAGCACGGTGAAGTAAGGCAAACAGCGCCACATGTCAGAAACGTAATGCCAACTCGCTGTCCGGAACGGCAAGAAGAAACACATACTCTGCTCATTGTCTTGAAATGATTTGCTCTCGTACAAAGTACATCGTCAGTTCGCTGTTCAGAGCGCAGCAATCACCGTAAGAGTGGATGAATAGATCATCATCTCCCACAGTCCTGTCAATGTGTGACCCACTCCACGGGGGATGCCTCATTAAAAACTTGCCGAGGAAAAAACCCATGAGGATGGGAAAAAATCCTCGGTCAAGAAAAGAGTACATCTCGTCCCACAGAGTGGATCAAGAAAACATTGCTAGGGTGTGAGGTCTTCTGTGTAAATCTCAAAAGAGGTGATCTTCAAGTCCTCTGGAGTCGTTGTCCGGAGTCGAGGGCTGTTCAACATAACAGATTACCGAGGAGTGCATGCCAACACGGACTACTGCGGTCTGATACAAGGTCGGGATGTCGGTCGCCAACCTCTCCAGATGTGAGATGTAACAATCACGAGCCGAGCACCCGGAGTCCCCCACTCCCTAAGCCGAAGAAGAATTCCGAGGCGAAGGGGAGTAGTGTCCATGCTCGGCTCTGTTGGGAGTCTTTGGCCCCTTCACGAGATGGCCGAGGCCGAGCTTGAGTTGATGTGGCCGAGCTCGAGTTGATGAGGCCAAGCTCGAGTTGATGAGGCCGAGCTCGAGTTTATGAGGCCGAGCTCGAGTTGATGAGGCCGAGCTCGAGTTGATGAGGTCGAGCTTGAGTTGATGTGGTTGAGCTCGAGTTGATGAGGCCGAGCTCGAGTTGATGAGGCCGAGCTCGAGTTGATGAGGCCGAGCTCGAGTTGATGAGGCCGAGCTCGAGTGCCTCACGCGGTGGCTAAGGCTGAGCCTAGCCTTCTCATCCTTCAAACCTGCAAAATAAGTTCAAAAAAGAACACAAGGCGCTCGCGGGCTCGGATGGACCGATCACCACACGGCCGAGAAAAGTAAGTCAACGTACGAGCAAAGTCCAAAGTTGTGGACAAAAGATAGGCCTTATCAGCGAAGTGCGCCGATCGTGTAGTAGTCTGGTCTAGAACAAACCTTGACGTCATCCTTAGTGAGAACGGGGTCTTCAAATGGGAGCTGCTCGGGTAAGTGAGATAGGCACAAATAATGCACCCCTCGCCTTAGATCTGAGAGCAAAAAAAACACGTCGTGGAAGACGGATATATAGGAGTGCGTCGAGATGGACGGCTTACCTCGGCCTCGCGAATAGTATCGTCGCGGACGATTTAGAGTGCCTCGCGGGGAGGGCTTACCTCAGCCTCGTAGAAGAGGAAAAAGGATCGCGTCGTGAGAGACGGATGGGAGTGCGTCGTGTTAGAAAAAGTGACCAACGCTAGAGGGGGGGTGAATAGCGTTTGATCGTAGAAATCGCAGGAATAAAAAATTAAGAACGTGAAACGTAAAGAGCGTAGAACGCGTAAAGGGAGCACACCAAGATTTATACTGGTTCACCACAACGTGTGGCTAATCCAGTCTCCCGAGAGACTCTCTCGAGCTACACTACT